AAAAGAAGTTAATGCAATCAGAAATTTGAAAACACTGATTTCTGATCAAGAGTCATTTAAATGTCATTTAAGGGGAAAAAATCACTGGAAAACACAAAAAGGGAAAAGTCTCAACACTCCGGGAAATGTCTCTAGGGGGAAAAAAAAAATTAAAATTTTCGCTGTAAAAAGACTTGGTGAAGAATGAGGTAGAGGGGTGGGGGAGTAGAGGATTTTTATGGGTCTTTTCTGCTGTCCCCCGGGACATGTGATCGTAGAATTGCGCTTAATCGACGATGAACTTACACAGGAGGCTTTTAACGGTGGCGCCACGTCGAAGACACCTCTAGTCTTGACCCCCCTTTTTGGTTCTTAAAAAAATGGTGCTTAACCCTTGTAGTGCACCAAAAAAATGGCAGAGGTTGGGTGAGTAAAACCCCACAGTGAGATTTGGGTTTGGGTTTTTTTGGGTTAAAAAAAGGGGTAAGACCGGCAATGGGTGGACCCCCCGTGGTGAGTGGGGTTGGGCCTATGGGTTTTTAAAGGGGTTTAAACCCAATGAGAACAGCCCCAATGCCGAAAAAGATTTCTTAAACTGGCTAGCTTAAAAACACCCCCGAAATACCACAACACCAAAGGGTTTTAAAAAAAGCACTCAGTTTTCTTGGAGCTTGAATCACAAAACAATGAAGACTAAACCACATGGCTTGCTTGGGGTACTGGAGTAAGGGAAACCCGGGTTAGTTGCTTTCTGGTTATCTTAACCCTTTACACAGGAAAGGCCCTTGACAACCTCACACGATGAGCACAGCAGGGGTGGAAAGCTGGCTTGGCAGGCAAAAGAACTGGATGGGGTAGGCTAGGCTTGACTGGTCTTCCTCACCACAGACTGGAAGCTGGCTTATTTTGCAAACTTGGGTCAACCCCTCGGGAGTGATGCAAATAAGCAGATACACTAATACAAAGAGACTGACCAGTGAATAATGTAGAAGCTGGTAGGAGCTTGGGCAGGAGAACTGGCTTGAGGTAGCAGGCTGGCGTTAACCTTGGTAGGCCTACTGGTGACACGAAATGGCCGTCTTGCTGGTCAAAAGAAATCTCCGTACATCGGCGTAATTATCAATTTTACGCCCACACCGCTGGCACCATTTATCATAGGGGTTCTTAAATGGAGATATCGAGGGTTGAAGGTAGACACACTTGTTGGATGGTAACACATATTGTCAGACTGTGATGACGAACGTGGAGCCCAGCCTCTGCCTGTCTTAGCCTGGATGTCTACGCCGACTGAGAGCGGGGCAGAGGTACGAACGTGCACATGTGCATCCCATGACGTCACACAACAGTCACAGGCCTAAAAGGGATCTCCTATCTAAAGCACATGGATGATATTATATGCTATGCTATATAACACAGGGATCTGCAACTATGCTGACAGACGTGTCAGTGGGTGGATTTACGAAGGATGAGGTTAATCATAGAATTGATGAAGGAAAAAAGGCGAGTGGTGTGTTGAGGTATATGTGGAGGCAAAAAACGTTATCTATGGAGGCAAAGAAGGGAATGTATGAAAGTATAGTAGTACCAACACTCTTATATGGGTGTGAAGCTTGAGTTGTAAATGCTACAGCAAGGAGGTGGTTGGAGGCAGTGGAGATGTTCTGTATAAGGTCAATGTGTGGTGTAAATGTTATGCAGAAAATTCGGAGTGTGGAAATTAGAAGGTGTGGAGTTAATAAAAGAATTAGTCAGAGGGCTGAAAAGGAGTTGTTGTGGTGGTTTGGTCATTTAGAGAGAATGGATCAAAGTAGAATAACATGGAGAGCGTTTAAAGCTGTAGGGGAAGGAAGGCGGGGTAGGGGTCGTCCTCGAAAAGGTTGGAGGGAAGGGATAAAGGAGGTGTTGTGGGCGAGGGGTTCGGACTTCCAGCAAGCGTGCGTGAGCGTGTTAGATAGGAGTGAATGGAGACAAATGGTATTTGGGACCTGAGGATCTGTTGGAGTGTGAGCCGGGTAATATTTAGTGAAGGGATTCAGGGAAACCGGTTATTTTTATATAGCCAGACTTGAGTCCTGGAAATGGGAAGTACAATGCCCGCACTTTAAAGGAGGGGTTTGGGATATTGGCAGTTTGGAGGGATATGTTGTGTATCTTTCTTTTAGGGTCACCCTGCCTCGGTGGGAGATGGCCGACTTGTTAAATATGTGTATATATATATATGTATATATATATATATATATATATATATATATATATATATATATATATATATATATATATATATATATATATATATATATATATATATATTATATGCAAAACAACCACTGTGAAAGAATAGAGAAATTCCAAGCGCTTTCGTGACTACTCACATAATAATATATATATTATATATATATATATATATATATATAATATATATATATATATATATATATAAATATATATAATATATATATATATATATATATATATATATATATATATATATATATATATATATATATATATATATATATATATATATATATATATATATATATATATATATATATATATATATATGCAGGACAAGCCATGGGGTGGAAATCTTTAGCTTAAGTACTTTCACACTTCTTAGTGCGTCATCAGGAGTTGTGCAATGTTGCAAGGGAGTAATGAAAGCAGGGAGAGAGGCAATAAACACCTTAAAACGTTATTGAGAGGGAATGATGAATCAATTAAATATCTGTCGGTTAGGTGAGCAACTCTACAATATCTATATTGGGTAATCAAGACCCATAAGCCAGGATACTCAGCCCGTCCTATTATTAGTTCAGTAGTCTCAGCAGCATATAATCTATCTAAATGGTTGGCTAAACTTCAAACTCCCATGGCTGATAAGATCTCAGACGCACATATTAAAAATTATGTTGACCTCACTGAGAGGCTCCAGAAATTAAATGTCCCTCATGACTTTTCTTTAGTGAGCTTTGATGTCACAGCTCTGTTCACCAAAGTCTCTGTCCCTGACTTGCTGTCGTACCTCGAAGAGGAACTTTAAAACTTCCCCATGCCCTTCCTCACGAAAACAATAACTGAATTGATAAAACTCTGTGTTACTGATTGCAAATTCGTATTAGAAGGGAAATTCTATGCTCAAAAACAAGGCATGGCAATGGAAAATCCCCTTAGCCCCTTACTCAGCAACCTGTATGTGGAATTCTATGAAACCACACTTCTTAAAGACATTCTCCCAGATAAAGCTAGTTGCTTCAGATACGTAGATGATGTTCTTTGCCTGTGGCCTAATGATCACAACACTGATGAGTTTCTTCCCAGACTCAATGGCTTAGTACCTTCCATTAAGTTTACTATAGAACATGAAATAAATAACACTTTGCCGTTCCTAGATGTTTTAATCCATCGTGTCGATAGAAAATTCAAATTCACAGTTTATATGAAGTCCAACAATGTGTCGTCATACATCCACTGCTATTTCAACTACGAAACTAGGGTAAAAAGGAGTGTGTTCCTCACAATGTTCTTGAGAGCATTGCGCATCTGCAGTCCGGAGTACCTAGAGGACGAAATCAGCAAGATATTCAACATCGCCACAAAACTAAGATATCCTAAGGATTTTGTAGAGAAGGTATTAATGTCAGCAAAAAAGACTATCTGCAGGACTGAACCTAAAGAAGTGATGACCAAGAAAAATGTTCTAGTTTCATCATATAATGAGAATCTAGCTTGCCTGCGTGAGGCATTAAAAAAGATCAATATAAACCTTGCTTTCAAAAACACGGGGACAGTGAAACAAAAGCTGATTAAAAACACACCCTCCAACAAAGTTGGTGGGGTTTACAAGGTCCCATGTACTCAGTGTCCTCTCTCATATATAGGTAAAACACGTAAATTTCTGGAAACCAGAATTACCCAACATAAATAGTCAGTCAGGGCAGGGCAGGAGTCGAATGCTATTTTTAACCACGTTAGTGCTTGTAATCACCCACCGGGGTGGGATGCTGCCCGGATTATAGTACCAAACAATTCTGTCATGGAAAGATACAAAATTGACTCTTCCTTCTTGAAACATGAAAGAAATACAGTTTACAACTCAAACTGTGGGTTATACAAGCTCGATAATTATTTAGTAGAGTCCATTGTACACAATCTTAAACAACAGTGTTATACAAGTTGATGGATTGGTGACGCCTGACCAGTGTCTACGCACCAAAGCTTCAAACCACGTCAGTTGTGATGGTTATATAATGCCTGTAGCTGTTAATGTACCATACGGTGACAAGCACACAAGATAACGAGATAACGTAAGGAGAGGTTAAAGGGTATTAATAGAAATTAGATCAAAGAAATATTATCGGGTAGGCATAGAAGATCCCTTTGTATGGCATATTAACCGACATTGAGACTAATAATAGACAATATTCATGAAGAGATACTTCTGAGTACATGGGTAGAACATTCGAGTACCTCGAGCCTCTATGAGTCCTTGTCCTGAATTACCCATAGGGTCATCATCCTGCATACAGATATAAAAGAATAATTTGAATACATATACATCTCAGTGTAAATACATCAAAAGATGTGTCTCTCAGTGTACGTACAACACAACGTGTATCTCTCAAAGTTTGTACACCAACAGGTGCCTCTGGTGATGTATAAGCACTGAACCTTCAATTTATTACTAATTAAGAGGCTACAGCATTAATGACAAGTTTTAGAAAAATAATTCCAGTAACACAATGAATACTGAGTAATTTGCTAATCTTTTTGAGTGATGTAAAGCTAAGGAAATTCTTTTTCTATTAATGACCAAGTCGCTACGAAAAACTTACTTTTCTTATTTAGATTTTTTCTTCGGAAAACTGAAGCTGAAATTCAAGAAATGTTTTCTAGGCATGATGACATATTATTTCGCTTCACATATTAAATGCTATTTATGTGTCTGAGTCAAACCACAGGCATGAATAATAGGTCCACGTCCTGAAGGTTACTGTGGGAGGGTGGAGTCACTTGTCCTATATAAAGTGCTGGACACCCACCTTTATCATCACATTGTCCAGGTTCTCGAGCAATCAACTCCTACAATCATGGTGCGAGTTAATACTTAGTGACAACTTCATCTGAAACAGCTTAGCAATAATAAAGTGAGATTATAATATATATATATATATATATATATATATATATATATATATATATATATATATTATATATATATATATATATTATGTGTGTGTGTGTGTGTGTGTGTGTGTGTGTGTGTGTGTGTGTGTGTGTGTGTGTGTGTGTGTGTGTGTGTGTGTATGTCTGCAGTAAAAACGATTACTTTCTTTTTCAGCGTTCACTGTCAGTGATGGTGGTGTTGGCCGTGATGGCTGGTGTTCATGGTGGACTAATTGGTGGTCTTGGTGGCTATGGTGGATATGGTGGTCTTGGCGGTCTTGGTGGTCTTGGTGGTCTTGGTGGTCTTGGAGGCCTTGGTGGATACGGCGGCTATGGAGGATCTAACGGTTTTGGTGGCTTGGGAGGCTATGGTGGAGGATTTAATGGAGGATATGGTGAGCATTAATTATTTTGATTATATTTACATGCGTATACATTTTTTAAATATATGTATGTCTTATTAATGTATCAACATATTAATAATATTTTTTTACCATTTCATAGGTGGCCAAGGAGGACACACGTTTGTGCTGAGTAAGAGCCATGGTAAGTCAGCAACACTTGTTTGTGCTTTTCTTATGACGATTACAACAATGTCTTAGGAATGTGCTTGTATAAAAAAAAATTAACATTAATTATTATGGTTTTCTTGTTTGTACACAGGAAGCCATGGAGCATTTGGCCAGGGCGGAGAGCTTGGGTTCGGCAAAGGTGGTGGATTCAATGAATTTGGCAAAGGTGGCGGTTTCGGCGGATTTGGCAAAGGTGGATTAGGAGGACTTGGCTACGGGAAGTAGGGCGTCTGGCAGTGCTGTTTCTTGACAACATCCAGCATCGTTACTTTCACTCCTTCTAACTACTACCATAATAAATTACCTGAAATATGAATGATTTTTATTGACATTATTTTTGTAAATCCTTTTTTTTCTGACGTTTTTGAAGGATCATCGGAAATTAAGAATTTAAGTTTACCAAGTTATTGGCAAAAATAAAAAATAAAATTAAGTTTTGTAAAAGTTGCAATATACTAGATTTACTTTGGTAATTAAATTATTTTTTTTCACAAAGGTTAAATTATGATACATTTAAGTTACAGTAAATTTTCAAGAAATTGATTTATATTTTGGGAGTCCAAAACAAAATTAATAGTTAATTTAATCAACGTTATTAATTCACTATTGTGAAAGACGTTCTGCTACAACATGAATTTTTGGTAATAGTAATACTACTACTACTACTACTACTACTACTACTACTACTAATAATAATAATAATAATAATAATAATAATAATAATAATAATAATAAACTTTATTTCTACAAATGCATAATGCAACTTAGACTATAGCTGACAACGGTGACACACTATATAGACAGTTCCTGGTTATGCAGAGCTTTTCGGACAGCTTAGGTTAACTTTTGTCTCCAGTATGAGACCCAAACCAATCGGCTAACACCCTGGTACCTACTTGTTTTGGACAACTTTTTCAAGTGAGAATTGTTTGATCTGAGAGGGACATTACCTCCCAGTGGCTACATTCTCACTTCTACTACTCTGCACTTCTCCTTCCGACAGTATTTAAGTCTCAACACTGTCGCTTGATCTTCACTTAGTTCCAGACTTTGGAACATAACTTCTCCAGGCTGAGAGACTGACAACCTCAAATCTACGACTTCAAGGGTGATGGACTGATTACATCGTCTTCACATATCTACTGCTCCTGCCTACTTTCTGTACTCGACTGAAGAAGCCTACTGTGTAGGCGAAACGTTTCGGAATAAAGTTGCCTAAATGTTGCCTATGTGTCTTATCTACCAACCTTATTAATATCCCCTTTATTAATACCCATCTTCCACTTATACACTTCGATCATGTCTCCCCTCATTCTTCTTCTAACAAGTGAATGTAATTTAAGAGTCTTCAATCTTTCTTCATAGGGAAGATTTCTAATGCTATGTATTAATTTAGTCATCCTACGCTGAATGTTTTCTAACGAATTTATATCCATTCTGTAATATGGAGACCAGAACTGAGCTGCATAATCTAGGTGAGGCCTTACTAATGATGTATAAAGCTGCAGTATAACCTCTGGACTTCTGTTGCTTACACTTCTTGATATAAATCCCAATAATCTATTTGCCTTATTACGTACGCTTAGGCATTGCTGTCTTGGTTTAAGGTTGCTGCTCACCATAACCCCCAAGTCCTTTTCGCAATCTGCATGGCTAAGTTCTACATTATTTAACTTATAAGTACTAGGGTTATGGACACTCCCGAGCTTCAGAACCTTGCATTTTTCTACACTGAACTGCATCTGCCACTTTTCTGACCAAGAATAGAATTTGTCTAAATCCTCCTGAAGTTCCCTAACATCTACGTTTGAATCAATTATCCTACCTATCTTTGTGTCATCGGCGAATTTGCTCATGTCACTAGTAATACCCTCATCAAGGTCATTGATATATATTATAAACAACAACGGGCCTAAGACTGATCCCTGTGATACGCCACTTGTTACAGATCCCCACTTGGATTTAACCGCATTTATGGACACTGCTTCCTGTCTGTGAGCCATGACTCGATTCACGAGAGCACTTTTCCCCCAATGCCATGAGCTGCCACTTTCTTTATCAGTCTTTGGTGTGGAACTCTATCAAAAGCCTTACTAAAATCTAAGTAAATAATATCAAATTCTTTATCGTGATCAACAGCCTCAAAAGGTTTACTGAAGAAAGTTAATAAATTAGTTAGACAAGAACGGCCTCTCGTGAATCCATGCTGAGTATCATTAATCAAGCTATGCTTATCGAGATGGCTTCTTATAATCTCAGCTTTAATTGACTCTAGTAATTTGCCTACAATTGAGGTCAGGCTTATTGGGCGGTAATTTGACGGTAACGACTTGTCTCCTGCTTTAAAAATAGGAATTACATTAGCCATCTTCCACATATCAGACACTACACCTGTTTGAAGAGATAAATTAAAAATATTAGTTAATGGTTCACAGAGTTCCATTTTGCATTCTTTAAGAACCCTTGAAAAAACCTCATCAGGACCCGGTGACTTATTTTGCTTCAGTCTGTCTATCTGCTTCACAACCATTTCACTAGTGACTGATGTTACATAATTTATCTTCTTCAGGCCCATTATAAAAATTAATTACTGGAATATTGTTAGTGTCTTCCTGTGTAAAAACCGAGAGAAAATAATTATTTAAAATCGAGCACATTTCATTCTCTTTGTCAGTAAGATGCCCATAGGTTGATAAATTAGACACATGTGCAACTCTTGGGTATCTTTATTGAGGAAACGTTTCGCCACACAGTGGCTTCATCAGTCCATACAAAGGAGAATCTTGAAGAACAGGAGGAGAATGAGGTAATCAGTCCCTCAACCTTGAGTCGATGTGGTCAGTCCATCAATCTTGAATAGAATACGGCATACGTGCTGAGAAGGAGCTTATAAACCGTTGGCAGGAGAGGTGAAGCAGTCATAGGTCGTGTAACATTTGTTCAATGTTGAAGTAGGTCGTGGGAATTCTTCGCTTGCCTAATTCTTGGGCACGACCTACTTCAACATTGAACAAATGTTACACGACCTATGACTGCTTCACCTCTCCTGCCAACGGTTTATAAGCTCCTTCTCAGCACGTATGCCGTATTCTATTCAAGATTGATGGACTGACCACATCGACTCAAGGTTGAGGGACTGATTACCTCATTCTCCTCCTGTTCTTCAAGATTCTCCTTTGTATGGACTGATGAAGCCACTGTGTGGCAAAACGTTTCCTCAATAAAGATACCCAAGAGTTGCACATGTGTCTAATTTATCAACATGTCGGTTCTCTGAACCATTCATCTACAAGATGCCCATAGTTATTTTTAAGGGGACCTATCTTATCTCTAACTTTTGTTCTATAGACCTGGAAAAAAATTTTGGGTTAGTTTTCGAATCCCTAGCAACTTTAATTTCATAGTCCCTTTTAGCTTTTCTTATCCCCTTTTTAATGTCCCTCTTAATATCAATATACTGATTCATAAGATGACCCTCACCTCTTTTGATACGCCTATAAATTCCCTTTTTATGCCCTAGTAGGTAATTCAGCCTATTATTCATCCATTTTGGGTCATTTCTGTTTGATCTAATTCTTTATACGGGATAAACGTTCTTTGAGCAGCATGTATAGTGTTCAGAAAACTGTCATATTGATAGCTCTCTTCGTTACCCCAGTCAACAGATAAGTGTCCTCTAAGCCCATCGTAATCTGCTAAGCGAAAATCTGGGACTGTTACTGAGTTATCCCTACTATAATACTACCATTCAATGCTAAATGTAATTGATTTGTGGTCGCTAGCACCCAGTTCCTCCGAAATTTCTAAATTATAAACAAGGGATTCATTGTTTGCCAGAACAAAGTCAAGCAGGTTATTTCCCCTTGTAGGTTCTGTCACAAACTGCTTCAAAAAACAATCCTGAACTACTTCTAAGAAGTCGTATGATTCTAAATTCCCAGTCAAGAAATTCCAATCAATATGACTAAAGTTAAAGTCTCCTAGAATTACTACATTATCGTGCCATGTGGCCTTAACAATTTCCTCCCTTAGTAGTCTTCCTTGGTTCCTATCTAAGTTTGGGGGACTGTATATCACACCTAAAATAAATTTTTCATGCCCCTCTGAAAATTCTATCCAGACAGACTCTGTATGTGTTACTTCAGACTTAATACCCGTTTTTATGGAACAGTTCAAGCGATCTCGGACATACAGTGCCACCCTACCCCCCTTCCCGATACTTCTATCTACTTGGAACAATTTAAAACCCTGAATATGACATTTCGCAGGCATGTCCCGACTTTTTTAATTAAACCACGTCTCAGTTAAGGCAAATACATCAATGTTACCTGCACTAGCAACTAATCTTAACCCGTCCATCTTATTCCTAGCACTACAGCTATTAGCATAATAAACATTGAAAGACTCTCTTTTCTCTTTACACTTCCTGCTCATTTCTGTTTTTCTACTAAACCTATTACTGCCCTTATCACCTAGTGTCACTGGCTTTTCAATATCTACCTCATTCTGCTTATTACTAGTTCCCCTAGAACTCATAATAATACTACACTGGGACTTCACAGTTTTCCTGTCAAAACCCATACCACTAACTATTCGTAGTTTAAAGTCCTAACAGCTCCCTCCACTGCAGCTGCCAGTGCCCCCACCCCAGACCTAGATAAGTGAACCCCATCCCTGGCATACATGTCATTTCTGCCATAGAATAGGTCTCAGTTGTCAATGAATGTTACCTCATTTTCCTTACAGTATTTGTCCAGCCAGCAATTGACACCAATTGCCCTGGACAACCATTCATTTCCAACTCCTCTCCTTGGCAAAATACCACATATGACAGGGTTCCCACCCTTCCTCCTAATTATTTCTATTGCTGACCTATACCTGCTAATCAGGTCTTCACTCCTATGTCTGCCAACATCGTTGCCTCCAGCATTGAGACAGATAATAGGATTGCTTCCATTACCTCTCATGATGTCATCCAGATGGCTAACAATATCCTCCATCCCAGCCCAAGGAAAGCAAACCCTCTCTCTACTACTCCTGTCCTTCAAGCAGAACGCCCTATCCATATACCTAACTTGGCTATCCCCAACAACAACAATATTTGCGATAAAGTTTATTACGGTCAAACTGGTAAAAATCTCGAACTTAGATTAAAACAACATAAATATAGCATTAGAACTGGACAAGATTCCAATGCTCTATTTATTCATGTGAGAGATTTTAACCATCCAATTGATTTTCAAAAAGTTGAGAAAGTTGTATCAAGCAAGTCCATGGATGACAGTAATATAATTGAATCTTGTTTCATAAAAAGCA